GACTCTTCTTGACACTCCCCCAGTGCGACAGACACCTACCCAGAAGCCAAAGTCTCATAGCAGGAAAAGGTATATTAACTCATAAGAATTTCACACACTCCATAATATGCTACTTACAGATCGCATTCTGAACGTTCCCTTTTGGAATTGGCAAAACAGGGAGATGATCTTTCTGCAATGCCCTTGGATAACTCGCTGTCAACATCTGTTCCATCTGCATCGGCCATGTCTCTGCTTTTAGGACAGAAAACTCCCTCTCGCATTGTTTCTCAGACCGTTTCTAGCACCTCTTGCACTGCTATGGGTGAGCAAAATCCATTCGACACATAAGCCTTTTTGTTTTACCAACCTCATGATTTTTTCGTGAAGGAAACGAGCGAATCTTTTCAAATATAAAACTTTCACAGATGTGGACATAGAAGAGGACCCTCAGCGAGCTGTCGACCTGTTCCGCGAAATGACTGAAATCATGCGCGGAGATTTAGAAGCACGGACAGAGGCAGAGGTAAAATTGTATTCAATTCTCCTCCCATTTTTTTCCATATGATATTTTTGGTGCTATGCTATGCTTGAAGCGAATCCTTTCAGCCATCATCTCCTCCACATGATATAGCTTCATCGTCGGATTTGACAGGAAGCAGACGTGAGCGTCGTAGTGATGGCACAGGATCACGTTTTGGATTTCTTGGAGGAATAATCAAAGGATTACCGGCAGCCGGAGTGGCGGTCTTGCTGAAGTTGCTAAGAAAAATGTATCTATTATTCTGTGTCCCTTCCTAGAATATATCTTCCATAATTGACTTGTTTTCAGTGTTGGACCATCTTATGAACGATATGAAGAGATGGTCAAACTTTTCAGCAGTATGCTTCTCCATAAGGTTTATCCGTTGTTGGCGTTGTTTCAGTCGAAATTTTGAAATTCAGCTCATCAACATTCAGGGGAGACTCCGCGGAACGGACGACTTGAAATCTCGTGAAATTCATGATGATGTACATAGTCCTCCAGCAGCATTGGCGGTATGGAAAAGTGCCGCTCACGTTGCGAGAACTACAGCTGCTGTTTTAGCTAATGAGAGAAAGCCTCTCTTCTGTGCTATGAACACTCGTCAGGTTAGCGGGATTTTGATCTAATGAATTCCTCTCAACCATAATATTTTTGTCATATCAGCATGTTTTGCCTCCAGGTCTGTTGAAGAGTTTATATTGTTAGTTTAAGGTTTCCTTACTCTTTTATATATTTTGACAAGGATATCTCTTCCTATAAAATGGACCAAAGAAAGACAATATATCCTTTTCTGTTCTAAAAGCTTGGAATAATTTATGTAAGAATTTAGTTACTTTTAGCGTGATTGCCTCCTTGTTATGGCTCGTCTGTCAGCCGTTCTCTCCTTCTGTATTCAACTTCTTCCCGACTTCACTGCGAATATGCTCCGCGTGTTGTTGGCACCACCACCTCCAACCACTGTAGGCGCTGCAAGTGGTGTTCCCGTTAGTCCGCGATCCCCAGAGTACCACACAACAACAAGTCCAGTTCATAGCTTCACCAATGCAAGGTGCACTTGTCAGTTTTCTTCTTCTCACTGGCGACGACCTAAAAATTGTTCTCTTCAGCCCTTTATCATCTTCCGCCGATTCACCAGCCAAATTGCTATCATCCACTTTTGCTCAGTTGTTCTCCAGCAAAAAGGAAGTTAATATTAATTTACTGCATGTGGATATGTTGAGCTTAGCTGTAAGTTTTCATATAATTTTATTGGTTTTGATTTTTCAAGAGTCTTTTATTTGAGTTATTTCTGAACCACATTTCTTCTAGATATCGCTGATGATGTCAATTGGATGGACTTGGCATGATGGTGCACAATCTTTTAAACCAACTCGGCAACTGCGTGAGATGTTACCGGATGGCTCACAGGATGAGCTGCATGTTTTGAGACTTTGCCTGACAGGTCTTTACTTCCAGGTATATCTTAACAACCTTTACTGCTACATAAAAATACGCGCATATTAGGAGCTATTGTGGTTTTGATCTAGGTCTTTGTTACGTTCGAGGATAGCGAGATGGTGGATGCGCAAGAGAGTGCGAAAGTTGATGAAACGGTTTCAAATCGTCTGAAGTTACTTTGGTCGATAGCCAGACCAACTGAATCTTTGTTGGTTGATGTGCCAAGATTGCATGAGGTGCAGTATTTTTGAGCTTTAGTCATTTTGTATATCTCTTAACTCTTTCAGACTCTTATTGAAGCAACACTATCATTGCTTCGTCCTCTAGCTCTTTTTTACCATGCATTGACTTTGGTCAATCCACCTGAAGCTTTGAAAGGTATTTTTTAAAGTGTACTACTTTAGCACCAAGATGTCTGTATTCAGATCCCTCTGTCGATGAATTTGAACCTCTTTGCCGATATATGGGACTTCCATACCACTTTATTGAATTACTAGATGGTTTTGCAGTAGAACAGCTTTTTGACATGTAAATTTTGGATTTTATCAATCAGCTGAATGCGTGCCAAGTAAAGCCTTTATCAAGGTGGTCCGCTGCTTCACCTCTCAACTCCCACTCGATTGTTCGTCAACCAATACATGCAAATCAACTCGTGGATCTGCCCTATGACTTCAGCGATGTGATACATATGGCTTCGGCATTCAGGTGTGGCGTCGTCCTTTTTTTATGTCCTTTACCCACTGAAAGTTCTTCTTGAGGTGTCCATCTATACCCTTGGAGGAGAACGCAGCTAATGTTCCAACCATGTGCTTGGTATGCGGCCAGATCCTCTGTTCTCAGAGCTACTGCTGCCAAAAGCAGGTACGCTTCGTTATCATTCTGCTCATCTCAGATTTTCAGCGTACTTTTTTCCAGGTTGGAAAGGAAAGTACTGGTGCTTGTAGATATCACATGATACATTGTTCCGGCCCAATGGGAGTGTTTCTCAGGTGCACTTTTTCATTTCGCATATCCTCCATTTTTTTAAACTAAATTGGCTTGGGTTTAATCTAGGTTCCTCGTGAATTTCTTTGTAGTGTTGCGTAATGTTAAGCTGATGTACAATAAGATTTCTTTGTTTGTCA